CCTGTGTAGCTCGTAGGGTCATGGAGGCAGGGAAACCATCGCACCACGTCAGAGTGCAGTCTCCTCGTGATGGTAAAGTTGTCCTGCTGTTCTCACATTGCAACGACCTGCACCAATTTTGTTATTTGTCGTTTTTCTATTCTACATCGGTCTATATTCATCGATATTGATGTCTCATAGGCGAAACATTTGCCCTCAATCCAAAAGCTAAATAATGCATCTGCGCGCTGTCGGCTTTTCTTATCTATTATGTATTAATTGTTTGTATTGCGCAATACTATGACGTTCTCTGGAATAAGTTAACCTCAACGTTAGTAAGAGCCTCGTTTATTACTTACCTAGTCCTGCGTTTGAGTTATGGAAACCGGTCACCTAAGCCTCGTGACTTGGAGTGGCGAACCGCGTAAGCCGCCTGCTAGGTTAGGCTTGGTATTGTTAAGTCCACCGACGGGTTCAGTCACTGGGGACGATAAGCTGCATATGAATCCCAGTGATCATGGTAATCGGGATGATGATTTTATTGGTATTCTCCCTTTGTTTGAAAATTAGACCAGTGGTCATTGTTTATTTTTTACTGTTTGAAGTAGCAGATTAAACTGAGCTTGATTGCTACTGCTAGTAATACTACTACCACTCTGTCTCAATAGCATTTCATTTGTCGTTTTTTTTACAGACTGCCAGATTGCGCGACGCGTTGGAAGAATGTGCCGACGTGAGTTCAGAGCTTTGGAATGGGGATATGAGTCAGCGTCTCCTTATGATGCTGTCCCATCAACAATTGGACGTTACTCGATCACATGACCAAGTTGAACCGAAAGAACACGTGGTAGACGATAAAACACCGGAGCCCGTTGAAGCCCAGGCCGATTTCGATTTCTCCCTGGCGTGTTTAACTCAGAATCGAAGTGTACGGTTTGATGGTGCCGGACCAGTGCTGCCGAATTATGAGCCAATTACTCCCGACGATAGTTTGACTCAGTTGTACGGCTCTGCCTGGAAGTCGGCTGCCTCTGTGTAAGTATATCTGACGTGGCTTCTCATTCAGCAATGCCATCTTTAGCGAAGCGGTCACGTACAACATCCAACAGACGAACTGGTCAAAACTGCTCTTTAATTGCAACCCTTGCATGATCAAGTAGTGTCGCAAGGGTGGACAATCGAAAAGCCGGTTAGAAATTGTAAATGTAGAATATCTAAAGAATCCGCCATTTAAACAAACTGGGTCATATATGTCCCGAACAAGGTTACAGATTATCGTGGCTGTGTAGCTACCCTTTGAAGTGTTTATGGTGTCGGTTGGTATTCATATGGACGGTAATCGAATCGAGGTATATATAACTTTCATGTGTACGAGCTAATCGCATAGGCCAATTTCGGGATAGTTTCAGTTTCCTATAGGGCGAGTGTTTTGAATTTTTGCTGATGTGTGACAGCACCCGTTGGAGTAACGAAAATGGGTATCGTCAGCATTTAATTTTTTTCACTGTCTACTGTAGGCTGCGCCATTTCGGCCAGTTCTGCTATGCAACGCAGAGACTTGGCTAATAAGGAAACAGGATAAAGATAGACTGTCGGTGTTTGAACACCGCTGTCTACGCAGCATTGCACGAATCTGGTGGGTTAGCCGGATGAGCACAGCTGAGGTGAGGCACAGAGTTTTGGGTAGCCGCGGTCGCCCACTGAAGCAAGTGGTCGACCTCCATAAATTACGCTGGTTGGGACAGGCATTACGCATGTCACCAGATATGTTGCCACGACGAGCGATGTTCGCCGCGGCAGGTAGTGGGCGGAAAAAAACCAAAGATGGTCAAAGTAAGACGTGATGTGAGGGTATGAAAACCCTTACCAGGTGAGTCGATCACAGAGGTCGCATTAGGCTCCTAGGATGGGGACCGCGGGATCACTGTAGTCAATGGTTAGAGACAGTGAGTGATATGGCTGTGTTGTAAACAGTGGTGCCAGTGCATCATCTCAATTTTTTTACAAACCTAATTTACTGGAGTTTTCCATTTCCTTTTCTACCATACTTTCAGCTTTCCTATCTTTCTGACACTCATCCAAAATTTGAAACTGAAACCATTAGCCGTACGCTTTCGTTCAGCGGTTTTCGTTACTGTCTTTGGGTTATCTATTTGTATGAAGTAGCAGATAGAAGGCGGGGCTGTGGTAAACAAAATCTGGTAAAAATAGACAGTTATGGTGGATTTTGGTTACAAAGGCATTGAATTATTGCACGAGCATCAGTGTTTACGATACTCAACCATACCATCCTTTACGCTGATCCCGAGGTTCTCTTCCAGGAATCTGAACACGACCTATATGCATAAATCTTCTAGCTACACTGGTTGTCCGGGACCTTCGGGCCACGCACGTTTGTGTAACAGTTCTTTCGAAAGTTTTTTCAATTCTCAATTTTGGTTTAGTGTAAATAGCATAATCACCTTATAATGAGAGAACATTTATGTATAGGGCGCGTTGAATATTTCTTTTCAGAGCATGGACTGTCCGAATTAACGTTATTGGATCTCCAATTCTCAATTGATTCACTTCACTCTTTTTGAATCCACACTGAAATGAAATTCCGCAACTGTTTTTCCTGTTTCCAACTACTCAGTGCCTCAATGCACGATCGCGTACAACACGGTACACAACTGTCTCGAACTGAGCCTTCAACACCACCCATTGGGACTAATCTCCGAACGGAGGCCCCAGCTGTGCCAGTGTCTGCAACAGAGTCTGTACGTTTCAGTCATTTATGTCTAAATCATTGTTATCGTCTTTTGATCTACTTTAGCTGGTGGTGCTTAGTCTTCTTGATTCTTTCATAGCGTGAGAAGACCGTTGACGCTGGAGTTCGCTAGTATATTGTTTGCTTAAAGGTGGTTAGTTGGAAGAGCAACAGAAACGGTATTCTACTGCCTTCCAGCTGTTTTGGGAGAGATAGATGACCTTACAGATAATGAATGAGGTACGCAAGTTACGTTCCACAAGAGCAACGGTATACAGGGATAAATAAGGGACTAACCGAAGATGAGCTGGTAACTGCCTCATTGTCAAAACATACGGCAATATATTGAACTCGATCGATGCAAAAAGGAAATCGACCAGTTTCCATCACAGATGTGGTTGCAATGTTGCATTTCAGGCCTTAGGGTCATCATGCCAACCCGGCCCTCCGTTTACGTGTCCGTAATCATTGGAGAAAAAGTAATCGTATTTCACCATTTGTTGATTCGGAGGCTGGCCAATGATCTGCGCTATAATACTGTACATACAATAACAAGACATTCTTAATGCAAAAAGGAATAGTTCCTCACTTATTGGTATTATTATACTCAAACAAAATTCCATCGAAAAGCTGGAATCTTTGAGAGCCAGCGCAATCGGCACACAAGGGGGCAAGGTTGAAAGTTACACGAACTGAAACTAAATGGTTCAAATTCAAATTTAAATCAAATTTTTATTATGGGATATAACTTACAAAGACTTCGCTTTTTCAAATCCCATAGGGT